ATAAACAGTCATTTTTAGAACATTTTCATCACCCAAAAAGGAAACTTCACCCACTACCAACCCTTTCCATTCTTCCCAGGCCTCCAGGCCCGAGGGAGCCTCTCATCGACTGTCTCTCTAGATTTGCCTCTTCTGGAACTTGCCTACAAATGAAACCACACAGCCTGTGACTTCTGGACCTGGTTTCTTCCAGGCCCAAACATTCAGCAAATGTTTGCCAAGGCAACAGCCCCAGTATTTCACTCACCAAAGACTAGTCCACTGGCCGACACAACATTCTGCATACCTGTCTCTTGCTGACAGACATCTGAGTTGTTTGCACTTTTAGGCTATTTTAGGAAGGCTGCCAGGACCCTTGTGGTGAGACAGCTCACGCTTCGCCCAGGTGCGCAGCTAGGAGTGGAATTGCTGGGTCACGTGGCACCATGTGAAACCTCTGAGGACATCTGACCCAGTTCTGGAAACTATTTAGAGATATGGGAGCATGCCCTCTTCATCAGATAATAAGAAACACACAGAGGTGTCTATATTTACAGCAAACATGACATGCTTTGGGGCCACTGTGCAAGTGCATTTCTGTGCTTCCCAGGAACGGTAGGAATTGTATGACCCAGAGTAAAAATGAGATTCTTAAAAAAATATAAACGTGGCCACGGTATTCTCTCTCAGGCTCCTTGAACCCACACACCAGCCTTTGTGCCCTGGGCTTGCTCCAGCAATACTGAACGTTCCCTCTACCTGAAATTCCTACCCCTCACTCTGTCTGCCCCAGACTCCCACCTCATTGCTCAAAACTCCCACTTGGCTAAGAGAACAAAGTGCTAGCTATATACTTCACAGCCCTAATTCCTAGCACAATATTCAGCTTTATAGGTGGGTGGAGCGGAACTGAAATATTTCCATGGGACAAGGAAAAGAACGGTGTTTATGTATCCTGCTCTATTTTAGTCTATTTGCTTCAAAGCAAGTTGAAAGGGATGAAAGGTGACAAGTACAAGCAAATTATACTCCTAAGAGCTAACAGCCCCCACCCCCAGCCACTTGAGAGGTATCTCCGTCATGTGCTAACTCTGTGCGCCAGTTTTAAAGTTTCACTATTAACTGAATCCTCATAAAATCCCACTAAATTGGCACCAATTATTTGCACTTATTGTGCAAATAATTTATTTTAAAATCTAACATAGGCCCTCCCTGGTGGCACAACGGGTTAGGAAGCAGCACTGCAAGCTGGCCACAGCCGCTTCAGTGCAAGTTCGATCCCCGGCCCCGAAGGTGATCCACATGGCGCGGCAGACCTCCCTTGTCTCGCCCGCTGCTCCCCTCAGCAGTGGACTTCGACAGTCGGCCTGTTCTGCTCCCCGCTCTGTCTCTGGGGAATCCTCTCACTGCCCCTGCACCTATGGCCTGTACCCCAGTTCTGTAGGCACAAATAAATAAAATCTTTTTAAAAAAACAATCTAACATAATGGCTTTTAAGTTGAGAAATGCTTTTTAAAGCAATAGTAAACTAATCATAAACCAGGTTGGCAAAATCCTATTTTTACCAAAATTCTCATTCTATGTGCGACTGAGAGAGGAGCGAGGATTGCTAGGCGAGCCTGGGTGTGGTGGAGAGAGGGCTCTCCACTGAAGATCGCCTCGAGGAGGGGCAAGCAGAGAGGACTATGATTCGGTCTGGCTGTGGACGGTCTCCGTGTGAGACTAGGGGCTGGACAGCAACCAGGAAACTCTGAAGGCTCAGGAGACCGAGGGAGGCGTGTCACGGGCTCCCCAGGACAAGAGCCCAAGCTCTGGAGACAGAAAGGAAGCGGACGGAATCATGTGACACACTGGCCTGAATCTGCCATGGCATCCAATTCACACTGGCACATCTTGCTATAAAATAACTTCAGATACATTCACCTCGGAATGAAAGGAGACGAGATACCTAAGAGCAACCGGCTTTGGGACTCCAAAAGCCGTCCAGCACTACGCCCCTTTCACTCTCAAAAGCACCCCAATGTGAAGTGGGGAGCGGAGACGCCCGCGTGACTCTGGACATCCGCCGCAGTCACCGAACTGTGCGCGTACAATGGGTGAACGCTCTGGTGTGTAACTGCACCTCAATGAAGTCTGCCACAAAGTCCCATTTAAAGGACAAGTCAGGTGACTGCTGGTCCACGAGGGCCCACTCTGCCTGCGGCGGAAAGACGAATACTGCTGTTCTGCCAAGGGACAATTACCCCAAAGTTCTTTTCTAAAAACAGAGACCTTTTTTTAACTGAGACAGCTTCTAGACACCTCAGGTAAAGAGAAGGCCCCAGCCCTGTCTCAGAGGCCAAGGCCACAGAGGCCCACTCTTCCCAGGCCTGGGCTCACCCCACAGATGCTCTCTTCACCACATAAGCATGAACTCCGACAACTGCCCCCAAGAGGAGGCGGCCCCCTACAGAGAGGCTGGCTGACCCGTCAGGAGCCCCCGGGCCTCAGAAGGATACATATAGTGCAAAAAGCTTTGGTGTGCTCCCGGCTTTAAAAATCAGAGCCAGAAACTTTTCCAACTTCAGCTTTAATTCTGGAGTCCACGAATCCTGAAAGAAAGAAAAAGACAGGGAAAAATGTCATTTCTCACAGTTCCATGGGTTCCCTGGCAACTCTTCTTCTGGTTCCCCCAGAAGGCAGAAAACCAAAAGTGCTGGATCACCACAGGCCCAGGGCACCATCGGGGCACAGCCTTTAC